TGTGCTCTTCCGATGTATTTTAATTTGAATTTTTTGGTTAGATTTGGTCATAGAATTCGAAAATTCTTAGGAAAAAAGCAACAAAAACATTTCTGCGTTCTAGTTCTGAATAAATGATAACAATCTGCACAATCCTTATTACTCAAACTATATATAAGAAGAGCATATTCGTCGAAATCAGTCCTTTAACTTTTTGCTACTATTGTAGGTACTAAACATCCTTAAATGTATATACTTGATACATTTTGCGGTTGCTATAAAATATCACCTAGAGACACACGTTTCATCAATGTATTATAACAAAGTACCATCGCGCAACATCAAACGACACTCATTATAGAAAATTCGACAGCCTCTTGTTTTTCGCAAATTCACCGTTCTATCTAACTGTGTTTTCTACGCTTGTTTATAATTGCAATTCTATTCTTCAGAATTATTTTTGATTGCTACGTACGTAATCGCTCTGCTTCCAAATGTCAAAAGCGTAAGAGAGAAAGTATCGCTAAAAAGAGCGATTCGGTTATCAATCGACGCGTCATTTCGTAATTTCTACAGATTTCCTATCATCTTCGCAAAGGGCATAGCGGAATAAGTAGGTAAAATCTGTCCCCGCACCAATCGAGCTCAAATTAGTGTCATTAGTTGGCATCTCTGAGATGTAAAACTTCCCCAAATATTATCTTGAAATTGCATTTTTTGAGGAGTTATGGAAGGGGCAAGTAAAATTTAAAAAATTGTTTTTCTCGAAAACGCCTGGACCAATTATAATAAAAAAAATATATGCTGTAAACATCGTTTAGGTAAGTTTATAAAATTTTTTTATAATTTTTACAATGACAAACACTGATAAAAAAATTATTTTAACTTTTATGAATTTTTTTTAATAATGTTTTTGAGTGACCACTTCTTCATTTTCACGAAAACATTTCTAAATTTATTACTGTAAAATTACATATATTTTTTAAATTAGTCAGAATGATGGAACATGGTTTAAAATAAAAATTACATTATTAATTTTTAAGATATTTATACACAAATAATCTCGTCATCAGCATTTCTATTTAGAATGTGTAACTTAACATTTATGCATTTTATAAAAAATACTTTTCACGTATTATTTCTTAATGAATGAATGAATGAATGAATGAACTCTGGAAAATCTTTAATAGATTCCAATCTCTAGTCTAGTGAAGATTTAAAAGGCAAAGTCAAATCTTATGTCAAATTACGATGAATATTAAAATATGACGATCAAAACAACATCGTAAAAATTTTTTTGCCTTACTCTTTTAAATCAAATACATGGCGAATATTTTTTGACGCATTAAATTTATGCAAAATATTTATGATAAGTGATTCTTTGCAATAGAAAAATCTCATGATTAATGGACCAGTCTCATGTAATCTACTCGTATTTTTTCCATTTGGAAAGGTCACAGCTGTTCCGCGAATATCCTTATGTTCTCTGCTATGGCGTCCTACCCGCTGGGAGCCAGCACACTAACAATTAATTATAATCTCCACCAAGTAGTTCTGTGATATCATCTCCGCCCTCTGGCACTTTACCCTGGTAAAGTTCATCTTGAAAATCTTCGACACGATGATATTCATTTGGCACTTGCGAAACATGTAGTTGCTAGTAACGTACTCAAAATCCAGTTTGCAGTACCCCTGTTTAGCTGCCCCCCCCCCCTACCACGCAGGAATAAAAAAATTAAAAGCTATTTATGAGCTTTCAAACCCTGCAAGTTAAAAATTTTGAGCTCGTCTGCATTAGCAAGAATTTTAATATAAAGGTGGGGGACGTCCATTCAGCCCCCCCACCTTTATATTAAAATTCTTGCTAACGCAGACGAGCTCAAAATTTTTAACTTGCAGGGTTTGAAAGCTCATGAATAGCTTTTAATTTTGAGCTATTAATTTT